TAAACTTGTTGATTGGCTGCAGGTGGAGGTGCGCACCAGACAAAACAAGACAAGATTTCTGCAATCTCGATCTTGATCTCAAAAAATCTGAAATGCATGATATCGATCTCGAATTTTCAAGAATCTCGTATATGTATATGATCTCGATCTTGATCTAGATCTTGACGATATTTTGACGAGATTGGCAATACAAAAAAATGGTGAATGTAAATTAATATATCTGTTAAAATTTTAGGAGAAAAGTATGTGTACTGTATATTATATATACTTAGGGCCAGTTTCACAAACGTCAGTTAACTGTTAACCAGAGTTCAGTCAACTCCCTATCTTTATCTATCTTATTATCTAAGAGACAGAGAATCAATTAATCTTCGGTTAGCAGTTAACCGACGTTTGTGAAACTCGCCCTTAGTGTTCCTACCTTAACCTTTCTTAAAAGACTGAAAAGATATAGCGTCTCTGCTGCATATTTTAGAAATTACAAAAGTTGCAAAAGTTATTATGAATTATTTTGCGCATCTTCTAAAGTTATTAATATTCTACTGAATAAACATTCGCGCATTGCGGTCGAATAGGGAACGGACAATAGGGAAAAGAGAGATGTCGAAGAGGAAGCCGGCGTTCAAGATTATTTTTTTACGGAGGGCGACGACGAGGCCGACGAAGATCTGTTGACCAAATTGACGACTTAACCTAAACCTAAACTCGAAAGCACAACAGTGCCTTTCAATCGCCGTTTACAATTGATTGTAGATGAGCCTAGCCGTAGGAATCGTGCTACGGCTTGAGATTTTAAAGCTTACTCCCTACTGCTACTGTGTTACAACCTTATTGTAGACCGACCTTTACGTGAGAACTTCGTTACGCGACATATAAACCAATCTTACGACAACGCAGTCACAGCACCTTACGTGTCGTCGATCGAAAAAATAATAAAATATATTGTTCAAATCTCGTCAAGAACTTTAAATAATCTCGTCAAGATTTTGGTATACTGAATCTCGATATCGATCTCGAATGTTACAAGTAATCTCGATTTTGACTCTCATCTCGACTTCGAGACGAGATCGAGACGAGAACGTGACTTTTCTCGTCTCGTGCGCATCTCTGTTGATTGGCTGCAGGAGAGAAAATTTCTACACTGTAAGAAAGTGTAGCGATTGCATTATTAATAACGGAAATATATAAATTTACTCTTTGTTGTGTAAATACTTATTTATACATGAAAAATTACAAAAAAATGGTAAAATTTACACAATTAAAAGCAAGCAGCTTGCGTGTTATATAAGATAACAAATTTACCAGCGAGGTGTAAATTTACTGACGTAATATACACCTTCAATAGAGGGTCTCAATATCAACCACTATAATAATTGTAATTTTACATGTAACTGTCTTACAGTGTAGATACTCAAGAACCTTTCTATCCCGCAGCCAATCGACACGCTTAAAACATTTTTACGACAAATGTCATACCAACCTTAGGCTAATATTACGACAAATTTTTCAAGCGCGTTGACTAGCTGCAGAATAGAAAAGTTCTCGAGTCTCTAGAAATTATTTATTCTGCAGCCAACCGACACGCGTGAAAAAATTGTCGCACGACAAATGTAATACCAGCCTTACCCGCGATCGGGAAAAAGATCGGGCGACCCGAAGGGGACCTCTCGGATCACCGAGGACGCGCGAGGGAGACAAGTCCGCCACGTTCGCCTGCCACGTGGCGAGCGAAGACGCGCGCTAATTGATTAGCTTCCTCCTTGTCTAACTTCGCCTTATCGATAACTATGGCAAAACGAGCGACGCGCGGCCTGCTGGATGTTTAAATGGGTCGAGTTTTTTTACTCCTTACGTCACGCACTGCGTGGAGAATCCTGGCCTTTGTTCGCCGGATCGCGCGCGCGGTCAGAGTTTCGTCGGAAACCAATCGTGGATTCATTCAGCTGGAAAACGACGCGGTCGCCCGCGTATATTTCCCCCGCGATTCGCGCCAAGTCGCCTCCCCCCCGACTTTCGCCGATCGGCACGCGAGATCGGCTCGCGTCCCCCCCGTTCGCGCATATACAAAGTTATTGTTTGTATCACGCGCGACGAAAAATCATTCGACGGAAAAAAAAGAGAGGCGCAGATATGTCGCGGCTTTCGCAATAACACCGGCGAATTCGCCGACGTTTCGATCTCTCCGTGGTACAATTGTGCTAGAATTGGAAATACCGAGCTGTGTTTACACGCCAGAGAAACGGATTCTCGAAAGGCCGAAATTTCAACGAACACAAGTTCCGGAAAAGGGATGGCGTGGGGCGAGAGGAAACAGTCAAAGACTGTTTACTCAGGAGTGAGTCCGTAGTCCCGGAATGCCTCACAAAGAACCCATGAAAGATACTGAAGAAGATTTTGCGGAAACGGGGACATACTTGCTCCTAGACGTAATACATTTGTACACGGAGAGAATATTGTCTTTGAAAACTTATCCTGAAAATCATGTAATCGTGAGACAACAGAATTTTATGACAAATAATATCAATTTCTTCGCCAGTGATATTCATAAGTAAAGTAGGACAATTGTTCCGACGTATCTGGCAGTTTATTTCGTTTAATACACAACATACAGAATTTTACGAGTTTTTCCGAAATTTTACCATACATTTCGCCAGTAATTATACTCAGTATACATTTTTCTAGTAGAATGTGTGGTAAAATTTCAAAAACATTCCCATAAAGGTCTTCAAAACGTCGTTCTGTCCCACGATCACACGACTTTCGGGGTAAATTTGAGGAGAAAATTCTCCCCGTGTAGTCACATTACTTTTGCAAACAGCAGAGATTGGACTCGAAGAAAAAACGCATTCGGACATCGATTTCATAAAATTATACCGTTTGAATAATTTAACAACAGGCTCTCGTCTAGTCTCTGCATTTCGCAAAATGGAAGCGCGATTACGATTGCAAATGAATGCCACGATTATACACAAACAATAGAGTATCGAAAAATATCACCGCTTTCGGTGTAATCGTCAAACGCGCATTCCTAAGGGTGTCAAGTCATCATGTTGCTAAGGAATACGTACATATATTGTTTTTTTTGTTCTCGCGGAAATTGCAAATTACTCGAAAGGTGATTAAGCGTAAACTAAATTATCCAGTTTATTCGCGTCGTTCATTAAAGGCGAAACGACGAGTGCGACGACAATTTTGGAGGATAAAAAAGAGAAAACGCGATCTGCTCTACGCGCACATAGAGTTTATTGTAATTTCTGTGTCTGCCACTTGCAAAAAAAAGTTACGCATTTTTATCTTTTATTATGCATCCGCAAGGCCATCGCTATAGTCAATTGCGTACAACGGCATTTAACGAGTATTACGATAATTCAGTCGTCAAATTTGGCAAATAGGCAAACCGACAGTTTCGGCGCTTAATTCTCTGAAATCGAGGCTCTTGAGCGAAACAAATCAAACCCGTTGAAGATCCAATTACCAGAAATGGCGAGTGGGAAATTTTAATAATACTAAATGTTCGATAAGCTCGGCTAGAGATAAAACGCTCGCTCGCTCGCCGAAGACGTACGCGCGCACGCGAAAATGTCGCATGTCTAAAAGCATGTCGTTCTAAAAGCGACTTTTAATTAAGCCTCACGATAAAAATGCACGGGACGGCGCAAACGTTGCGCGAACGCGTCGCATTTGAAATTACGATAGACGCAATTCAAACGCCAATTATTTTCACGTCCGTTTGCAAAATTAAACGGGCAAAATGATAGAATCACGCTCGCGTTTAGCAATGCAAGTTTAATCTTGCACGAGCGCGGCAGACCAAACGATCCGCGCGCAAGCGAATATTCGGTTCGATTCTGCCGGAAGATACGCGCGGTCCACATCCGCGTATTCGGGAGTCACACTCGTGCCGCGTGGCCATCGGACACACGCCGGCTGTAAACGACACCGCTAACGAAACGTCGTCTCGTCGCGTATTCCGCTTCTCCCCGAGACGACGGAGGAGAATCCCATCACCCCCACCCCCCACCACCGCGGGGAAGTCCCGACTCCCGAGAGACGATGAAAACGCCTGAAATCCCGCGGCGGCAGGCACGGCCCTGCGGCGCGAGGCTTCCGCGTCTGCTCGCGTCGGGGAAACTTGGGTATCTTTTTCCGATCGGTGGAGAGGCGCCTTGAACCCTCCGTACCCTCTGCCCCCCCTCCCTCCCTCCCCCATCCCGCGTTGCGGCACTACGGTCGTACGCGGCTCTCGAGCGATACGTACCTACGGCGTCGATCGGGGCTGATCCGAATCCGCGCGACGGCTCAGCCGACATGCGAGAGAGACGAGGGCCGCGCGATTTCGCCTCTCCTCCTCCTCCTCTCTTCCACCGCCGCGCGTACGTCGCCTCCCCCTTCGCGAGACGGTACGCGAGGCGAGACACACACACACACACCGCGTACGACGGGACACGAGAGACGCGCCGCCGTTGCCGGTGACGACGACCGTTTTTCTTCTTTTTCCCCCTCCCCCTCCTCCTCCACTACCTCTTCTTCGTCTCTACCTCCCCCCGGCGCGCTTCCGCACCTCACTTCACGCGTCAGCACGAGGCGGCCCCGCGAAAGACGCGCGTTCGGCTCACTGCACTCTCACTCTTTAAGCCTCGCACCGCCGTCTCGCGTCCACGGCGATATGGCGCGCACGCATCGCGCGTAAGCGCGTACGTAACGAGAATCGGTGTGCACGCGTGCACACTCGGTCGACCCGGCCGAACGTCCGTTCGTTCGCCCGCCCACTCTTCTCCCGCCCGTTTCTCCGCGTCCGTCCGTCCGTCCGTCCGCCCAGTTCGTCCGCCTCGCCGCCGGAGCGTCGTCTCGGCACCGCTCTCGCCTTTTCCTCCCTCGCACACCGGCGCGGCGTGCACGACTCACCGGATCCGCGATCGCGGCGCGCGCGCACACCACACACACGCGCGCGCACGCACACACACGCACGCACACACACACACGCACACACACACCCTTACGGGAAATAGTCACATGTTCCAGCGGGATTTCGAGAGCGTTGGTATGGCATGCACGTACGCATGGACCGCACGCACGTTTTCCACGAGAAGAATGTGTACTGTGCGCTGCTGTACGCTACACCGAGCTCCGTAGCTGCACGCGCGAATAGCGACACAGCGACCGAGTTCTCCCCCTCCCCTTCCTTGCCGACGGTTGTACGGAGAAGATCCTAGGCATGCGCAGCCGCTGTCGACTTCAGCAGACGCGCTCGCGTGCCCCGCGACGTTCCCCAAATCGTCGTTTTGCCGCGCGTGCGCGGTCGCGCGCCCGACCCACGTGACTGCCCCGCGACAGACCGCACGAAGCATTTTCCGATTAAAACTCGTTCCCGGCTTTTACGAAAAAAAAACTGAAGTAGCGAAACTTAGGCAACCTAAGGGGATGCTGGAGCGATTCTGCACCTTTTGGCACCTTTTGCTCCTAGAACTATCAATTCGTAATCAGACTAACCCATACAGCACAGATGGTTGCAGTTACATTGCAGAAACGTTGCAATCTTGCAGATTGCAGTGCAATCTTGCAGAGACATTGCAGGGATATCAAATTGCAAACTTTCGATAGCAATATTGCAGCAATGTTTCAAAAATAATGAAAATACTATACTCATACAGCACAGATGGTTGCAGTTACATTGCAGAAACGTTGCAATCTTGCAGAGACATTGCAGGGATATAAAATTGCAAACTTTCGATAGCAATATTGCAGCAATGTTTCAAAAATAATGAAAATACTATATTTTCTATTTAAAAAATGTTTCTAATTACGAGAATTTTATAATGTTATTTTCGTTGATACCAATAATGCGCGAATTATTAAGTACTTGATCAGTGCGGTGTTGCTCGCAATCTCCATCTATTGCGAAGCGACATAATCTCCTTAGGTTGCTTCGCAATAGCTTGCTGTGTATTGAAAAAGGCCCGGATGCATATGTAATTAGTAAATTCTCTGCTTATGTACAACAACGACAAATTATTCCAAAAATATTGCGCCGCAACATTGCTATAATGTTGCACTGCAATCTCTCTGAGGGCGGACATTTCAACGTTGCTGCAATCTTCCAGAAACGTTGCAGCAATGTTGCGCAACGTTGCTGCAATATTGCAATCTTGCAATGTAATATTTCTGCAATCTTCCTGCAATCTTTCTGTGCTGTGTGGGAACTCAGAGAACTGCATGGTATCATTGAAATTAAGTTTAGAAGGTGTCTTTTTGTCATTTTCTTGATTACAATCGAGATAGTGACTTTTATCTAAATATTGATAATCATTAAGTAACATCTTTCATAGGTTAATTATACCGACACGCAAGTTTGCACAGTCTATAAGATAAAGAATAAGAATTTCTATAAGTACTGTTCCGCATGCCAATTCCTTCTTCCTTTATTGTGAACGCATACGAAAGCATGGCTTCCCATTGGTCGAAATTTAATTCTCTATTCCTAGTTCTCTATTCTGCTTCGGCTGTTTTCCTTTTAGGAGGCACAAGCGACACTTTTGACACAAATAAACACACATCGCTTTCCATATAGAATTTTACTCTGCTTGGGAGGAGAGTTAGAGTGTGTTTTTTGACTAGTGATGTCAGGTTAGCATGCGCACACAAGCGCAAACACGTGACTCATTGTTAGTCATGTTCCATCGTTCGTTAAATTGAGATCAGCTCCTTTGATTTACCATACGGATTTATTGATACAACTATCACTTGAAAAGGACCAGAAACCATGGTCGAAACGTTGTGAGTTCGAATATAAAAATTGCCAGGCATGGTCAAGTAATCTTCTGAAGCTTTTAAGAAGATTATAGATTGTTGCGTATATACAAAACAATGAACACGTTAATTTCAGTATATAAAAGTTGATCTGATACTTTTCTTTCTGTGCACACACACACACACACACACACACACACACACACACACACACACACACACACACACACATACACACATACACACATACGCTGTTGGATTTGGACCAAAGACATGGCGGAATACCACGTGATCGGGACCGCAAAGATCAAAAGGACCGACAGAAAGTGGACCTGCATGGTTATACTATGGCATGCATTGTCCGTTCTACCAATGTGGATTAACTTTAATCTCGGTTCAACTTACTTTCTATTGTACTAGAAACGATAAAACGCGCGCTTCGCGCGCGCAGTTTGTGGTCGACCATTGTGTATTTTTAAGAATTTGTATACACGCGAAGAAGTAATTGTATGCGCAACGTCAATTTAAAATAAAAAGTAATTTGTCACTCACTGATACGGTTCGCAACAGCAAAGTTGTACATCGCTAACTATTACATGTTAAACTGTAACAATACAAAAATGTATACGATTACTCGTATTATAGACTAATTATGTAAAATCCAGACTATTGTATTAAATATACTTTATATTTAATATTTTTGAAAATGGGTATTTATTAAAATAATTATATAGAATACTGAAAGTCTTTCTTTTAAATATGAATTCACAAAATTTTATACGTATGGTTTTGTCACTAACACTTATTCGAATGCTCGTTGGAATCATTTGAATAAATAAAATAAAAACACAGAACAGATGATTAATTTTGCACAAGTAGCAAATAACAAAAATGTAAGACACTTACCTTACGATTTCTCTGCCGTTGCCCGATGCCGCCTAGACCTGCTCCTCCTCTCAGATTTTCTTGTTGCACTTACACTCACAGCACTCACTCGCGAAAATCGATCGCGCGAAATTTCGGACACTCCCGTACGCGATGTAAAATACCGTGAAATGTAGTAAGCGACGTTCTTTACTTCCTGCCCGTTCGAGTTGCGAAGAACTAAGGAGCGAATTACAGAGCGAATTACAGCGCGAACGCCGAAGTCGCACAAATATCTCTCTCTTCCCGAAAATGGAACAGATTACACGAAATCGATAGATAGTTAAAAGCGCGGTGCGTAAACGAGATGTAACCGCGACAACGTACCACGGTTTACTTTCATATTTTAGATGAGTTAGTCTCGTAAAATATCCATGTACACGTTGATAAAGAGCCGTCGCGTCTCAACGCGCAATTCGTTTCTTATTACAAGTTGTAGAAACTTAATAATTAATCTTGTAGCGTTACTTGTCACTGATAAAGGAGTCCAAATCAATAGTGTTTTATCGTTACATTCTTCACGATCGAGTCTTGGAAACCGACAACGCAAAAACAATACCACGTACGGAGCGACTCGCGCCACTGCTTGCCAGCTCGACGTTCGGCGAGTGACTGCGCGGCAACCTTGGTGTAAACAATGGTCCGCGTGACGTTGTACGATGCCGCGCCGAGTGAAAAACAATAAAAAAACGTTGAGAATTCGTTGGCCCATCTACGTAATGAAAATTCCGTACTTATCACTCGCTCGCCGAACGTCGAGCCGGCAGGCAGCAGCGAGAGTTGTTCCGTGCGTGATATTATTTTTACGTTACCGGTTTCCAAGACTCGATCGCGAAGAATGTAGGGATAAAAC